CTAGTACCATAGTAGATAGTTTCTGCTCTGGCCTCTCTCTCCTCGCTCCCTTAAAGGCAGCTGGTCTCTGCTCTGGCCTCCCTCTCCTCGCTCCCTTAAAGGCAGCTGGTCTCTGCTCTGGCCTCCCTCTCCTCGCTCCCTTAAAGGCGGCCGGTCTCCGCTCTGGTCTCTCTCTCCTCGCTCCCTTAAAGGCAGCTGGTCTCCGCTCTGGCCTCTCTCTCCTCGCTCCCTTAAAGGCAGCTGGTCTCTGCTCTGGCCTCTCTCTCCTCGCTCCCTTAAAGGCAGCTGGTCTCTGCACTGGCCTCCCTCTCCTCGCTCCCTTAAAGGCAGCTGGTCTCTGCACTGGCCTCCCTCTCCTCGCTCCCTTAAAGGCAGCTGGTCTCCGCTCTGGCCTCCCTCTCCTCGCTCCCTTCGAGGCAGCTGGTCTCCGCGCTGGCCTCTCTCTCCTCGCTCCCTTAAAGGCAGCTGGTCTCTTCTCTGGCCTCTCTCTCCTCGCTCCCTTAAAGGCAGGTGGTCTCCGCTCTGGCCTCCCTCTCCTCGCTCCCTTAAAGGCAGCTGGTCTCTGCTCTGGCCTCTCTCTCCTCGCTCCCTTAAAGGCAGCTGGTCTCCGCTCTGGCCTCTCTCTCCTCGCTCCCTTAAAGGCAGCTGGTCTCTGCACTGGCCTCCCTCTCCTCGCTCCCTTAAAGGCAGCTGGTCTCCGCTCTGGCCTCTCTCTCCTCGCTCCCTTAAAGGCAGCTGGTCTCCGCTCTGGCCTCTCTCTCCTCGCTCCCTTAGAGGCAGCTGGCCTCTGCCCCTCGCGGCGCCTCGTACCATCGCCTCTTTCAGAACAGGTGGATTTAGATGAGTGGGAGATATGGCGGTGATAGAAATGACGGAAGATCAGTAGCAATGAGAGTCGGTGAGATGATAGATAAAAAGGATGAAAATGCTGAGGAAACGATAAAGGTAATGATAAGAATCAATGGCAATGATACAATCATTAAGTATAAAAAAATCGACCAAATAAGATAGATAAGTGATATATGACGTTACAAAAAGATAAATAGATAAAAAATAAAGGAAATAATTCAAAAAACAGTTGCACAGGGGAGAGATAAAAATAATGAAAATAAAAGTAAACTAGTAAACGAAAGAAACAAAAAAGACAAACTAAGCAGACGATACAGAAGCAAACAAACCAAGCAAATGATACATAAACCAATAAACAAATGACCCAGTGGTTCGCAACCTCTTTGCACTCGCGATCCCTTCCTCAATCCTGCGATACATCCGGGACCCTCGACATCAGCTGTTCTCTGTATAATAATTCTAACATTTTTACATATTCTTTGATTTTTTTTTTTTTTTTTTTTGGGGGGGAGAGGGGGGGAGCAGCGATCTGTATAATATTTATCCAAGTAATTGTAATAAATAAGTGTTTGAGGTTATGCGTGGCTTTATAGGAAATTCTTGAAATGAACATTGATTAATATCTAGCAAACTTGGTGCATTTCACCCCCTCCCCCCCCCAAGAAAAAAAACAGCTGTAAACCACTGATGTAAACATATTAAATATGCAAATAATGAACCAAAAATGAAAATCATATGAATCTCCCTAATTTACCAAATAAATAAATAAAATCACAAATGCACAATCGAATGCATTGGGATAAAATCAAGAATCATGAAGTTTCGAATCTTGGCTGGTTATTCCTCATCACTAAAATTCATCTCATTATTAGTCTGGGACTCGCTTCTATATTTTTCCTCAATTAATATCCCTTGTTCAGCTTTCTGTTTGTTTCTGTTTAATAAGTTCCAGAAATTATATAGCAAGTATACATTTGACTTTCATGAATAATAAGATTCTAATATCACTTCACACACACACACACACGCACACACACACACACACACACACACACACACACACACACACACACACACATATATATATATATATATATATATATATATATATATATATATATATATATATATATTATATGTATGTATTTATACAGAATGCAGAGTATGGAAGAACTAGTAATTCTTTTAAATGCGCAGATATTGTGTGGCATTCTGTGCGCGAGTCGCAATTCCTGCGGAGGCTTTGAATACAACCAAGAGGGAAGATGCAACCTTCTCGAAGAATATTTTTTCGAAGCTATGTGAGGGAGAAGGGAGCAACTGGGAAACAAAATCTACTGGAAAAGTGAGGTTTGATATTCCTTTTATCCAGCACTGCCATGGATGCTCAGTATGGGAAAGATACTGATGCACTTTTTGTTAGATATATGCTGCTAATACATGCATTTATATCTCACGTCGGCACTCTGTATACAGTCTACATGTCTGTATGTCTGTAGTCCGTGTGTGCCTTTTTCTGTAGCATTTCCGAAACCCTTAACACTTTGATATATGTGTCCTTTACGCGCACAATATTGGAACCAGTTGAAGCATCTTTTAGATAGCTATGCAGGTATTTACATTACGTATGTCTCTACCTTGACACAATGTGGTACAGTCCACCTGCTAATCAGAACGCAATGTTTTCCAAATATATTTCATGTAGTCTTAGGGATTCATATTTTCATCAATTACGAATTGCATCGTAAGTTTCTTGATACAAATCTCAATGATAAAGTTGCATAAAATGTCTCTGTGCCTTTTTGGCAGTACATCAAATACATGTTCATTACATATGGGTGAAAGTCAATCATTAAGGTCATGACGTAGTAAGAATTTGTTTCACATATTTTCCGTATTTTTATATACATATATATATGTATGTATATACATACACACACATATGTGTGTATGTATATATGTGTATATATACATACACACACATGTGTGTGTATGTATATATGTGTGTGTCTCTGTGCGTGCATGTATATATACGCAAATATATACGTATATATATATATATGTAAATATATAAATGTATATATATATATTTGTACACGTGTATAAATATATCTACCTATCTATCTATGTATATATATATATCTTTATGTATATATACATATATAAATGCTTGTATATGAGTATATATGCACACAGACTCACACACACACATATATATACAAAAATATATATATATGTGTGTGTGTGTATGTATATATATACATACATAAATACGTGTATATGAGTATTTATGTACACACACACACATGCACACACATACATTTGAATGAATATACACATATACACTAAGTATATATGTATATATATGTATATATATGCATATATATATTCATATATATATATATATATATATATATATATATATATATATATATATATATAAATATATATGTACATATTCATATATATATATTTACACACACACACACACATATATATATAACTGTGTTTGTGTGTGCGATGTTTGTGTTCGTATCAGTGTGTCCTATTTATGTGTCAATAACAAAATGTATAATTTCAGAACGACAGTATTTACTAATAGAATAAGCAATGAACTTTATTTCAGTTGGTCAGTTCCCAAGCTATCAACAGCATGGAGATACGTTTCTCTTCTCTGGCCACTTGATTTTTAAATATCGGAGCGCCTGGAGGTATTGCCACTTTTTCAATGCGAGTTTGGCGCTTCCCCAGGTAAGCTAATGCTCAGATATCTACAGCTGTCCAATTTACAGACAAGTGTCGAAAAGTTGTAAATGGTTGAGTTGCCTTCCAGTGAGTGTTCCTTCTACTCTATAAACGTCACTTTGGTCCTTTGTTCTCTCCCTTCGCAAAGAATTCTGAAGAGAACGAATTTTTCGCCGCGTTTAAGGAAGATTTGTGGCTGGGAATGCAACAAGAGGACGGGGTTTTCGTGAGTGACGCTACAGGTGAGCTAATGACCCGTGTGTACTTTGACATGATGCGCAATGTGCGTATATAATATATACGTACATACATACACACACACACATATATATATATATATATATATATATATATATATATATATATATATATATATAAATGTGTCTATATATATATTTATACATATGTATATATAGAATATGTCTATATATATACATATATATACACACATAGTATATACATACGTACATGATGAATATATATATATATACATATATACATATATTTAAATACATACATACATACATATATACATTATATATATATATATAATTATATATATATGTGTGTGTGCGTATAGATATATCTAACTATCCATATATATGTATAGACAGGTAGGCAAAAAATCTCACAGAACTCTCTTAAACTGTCCCTCCTTCCGTGGTGCCGCGTAGGTGACGTAGGTGGGTGGGTGTGCGTGTGTGAAAAAATATATGTGCGTGTGTGTGTTTGTATATATAGAGATAGATAGATGTATATAAATATATATTTCTATCTATTTATATATATGTATAGACAGGTAGGCAAAAAATCTCACAGAACTCTCTTAAACTCTCCCTCCTTCCGTGGTGCCGCGCAGGTGACCCGGTCGTTTACACCAACTGGAAGGACGGCCAACCTCCCTCTGATAACTTTACCTGCGTCTACATGGACCCAGAAGGCTTCTGGCTTGGCTTAGACTGCGAAACCTACATTCATTCCTTCTGCCTGAAGAAAATATCGACCTGTTGGAGAGGTTATACAGACCAGAGGTGCTTTGTCAGGATCTGAAGCGGCATTCTCTTGCTGTGTGTGTATCTCTCTCTCTCAGACTCTGCCCCCTTCTTTTCTCTCTCCCTCTCTCTTTCTCTATCTCTCCCTCTCTCTTTCTCTATCTCTCTCTGTTCCCTCTGTCATGTCGGGTTTTTCTTGATGTGTCTGTGAATATGTGTGTATGTATATATATATATATACATATATATACATACATACATATATATATATATATATATATATATATATATATATATATATATACACATACATATATATATATATATATATATATATATATATATATATATATATATATATGCATATATATACCCCCATTTTACATACTGAAACAGCCTTTTAACCTGACACTGTATCACCCAGGGAGACTAAAACCTCGCTATTGCACTCTACCATGATGTAGTCTACATTCTGGTTAGATCCTCTTTTTTGTGGGTTTGGTTTGGTTTTGGAGTGCATTCGGATCAGGGAGGCTATTGAGATTTGCATATGGACACACATACACACATATATATGAATATAAATAGATATATGTTCGTGTATGTATATTTATATTTATCTTATATACATACATATTATATATATATATATATATATATATATATATATATATATATATATATATATATGTATATATATATACTTATATGACTATATGTATATGAATATGAATATATATACATATATGTGTGCGTATGTGTGACTATGTGTATATGCATATATGTAAATATATGTAAACATAAACACACACACACACATATATATATATATATACACACTGTATATATATATACATACATATATATATAGACACATAGCATATATATGTATATATATATAGGTATAAGTATCTCACTTTCTCTCTCTATATATACACACACACACACGCACACATATATATACAGTGTATATGTACATTATATATTCACACATCTATTTATATATATACACATCGTATATATATACGTTATAAATATATGTATATACATACGTATTTTTATTTACGTACATGAAAACACACACAGGCCCCGTCTCCCCGGGGTCTAGCACTTGGTGGTGGCGAGCTAATACCTGTGTGGCCTCTCCAAAGGGGAGGAAGCAAGCACCTATGCTCCATCGCAAATACAGTTTCACCATCGGAGAATAAGGAATATAATTTGACAGGA